CTCTCTCTCCCCCCCCCCTCTCTCTCCCCTCTCTCTCTCTCCCTCCCTCCCTCCCTCCTCTCTCTCTCTTTCTCCCTCCTCTCTCTCTCTCTCTCTCTCTCTCTCTCTCTCTCTCTCTCTCTCTCTCTCTCTCTCTCTCTCTCTCTCTCTCTCTCTCTCTCTCTCTCTCTCTCTCTCTCTTTCCTTCTTTGTTTCTAATGTATTTGTGTACATGTACATGCAGTGTACGTGTTCATTGCATATCCGTATGTACATGTACATGTATATGTACATGTACATGTGTGATTGTGATTGTGTGTGTTCTCTGTTCTTCTTTAATTAAGCATGACTGTATGAATAAAGTGTGACGGTCGATGCTTTGTAGCACATGTACAGGTACACTGACCACGTACACTCCTTCTACATGTACTGTATATGTACATGTACATATTGATGGAGGGGAAGAAGTGAAGAATGATGTACATGTAGCAAATTACAGGTAGAAATTGAGATAGAGTTTCTGTACATGTACTATATAGAGAGCTAAAGTTATAGGAGCAAACTGCTTGGCTATGTTTATGTGATGGAGCATACAGGGTTTTTGAATAGAAATTTGACTCTGCACCAATTTGGCCCAAATTTACGTTAAAAATGACTGCTTTTTTTTCTAATTCTGCTATAATCTAAAAATAGAGAATTAACATTATGTTTAAAAAATTTCTTGAGCAAATTGGCCCCCAATTGATATTGGTAACTGTGGGCCATAGCAAACTGGATTGGGCCAATTGAGCGCTAATTTAGCTTATCAAAAACACTAAAGCATTGGCTTTTCTCTCCTGGGGAACTTCTTGAAGGTGTTGTTAGGTGTAGAGGGCTATTATTGGAATAAGTATTACAAAATTGAGACACAGTACTGTACTTGTACACTGTGTAGAGGGTTATTAGTAGAGGGTTACTAGTAGAGGGTTATTAGTAGAGGGTTATTAGTAGTAGAGGGTTACTAGTAGAGGGGTATTAGTAGAGGGGTATTAGTAGAGGGATATTAGTAGAGGAGTATTAGTAGAGGGGTATTAGTAGAGGAGTATTAGTAGAGGGATATTAGTAGCAGGTTATTAGTAGAGGGTTATTAGTAGTAGAGGGTTATTAGTAGAGGGGTATTAGTAGAGGGATATTAGTAGCAGGTTATTAGTAGAGGGTTATTAGTAGTAGAGGGTTACTAGTAGAGGGGTATTAGTAGAGGGATATTAGTAGCAGGTTATTAGTAGAGGGTTATTAGTAGTAGAGGGTTATTAGTAGAGGGGTATTAGTAGAGGGTTATTAGTAGAGGGATATTAGTAGAGGGATATTAGTAGCAGGTTATTAGTAGTAGAGGGTTACTAGTAGAGGGTTACTAGTAGAGGGATATTAGTAGCAGGTTATTAGTAGTAGAGGGATATTAGTAGAGGGTTACTAGTAGAGGGATATTAGTAGCAGGTTATTAGTAGAGGGGTATTAGTAGAGGGTTATTAGTAGAGGGATATTAGTAGCAGGTTATTAGTAGAGGGTTATTAGTAGTAGAGGGGTATTAGTAGAGGGATATTAGTAGAGGGTTATTAGTAGAGGGGTATTAGTAGAGGGATATTAGTAGAGGAGTATTAGTAGAGGGATATTAGTAGAGGGTTACTAGTAGAGGGGTATTACTAGTAGAGGGTTACTAGTAGAGGGGTATTAGTAGAGGGTTATCACTAGTAGAGGGTTATTAGTAGTGGATTGTGTGTTATGATTGTTAGCAGTTGTTGTCAGTGTTTGTCACATTCTCTTATCTCCTTGTATATCTCTTAGGGCCTGAATGAGTTTATTATTTCGCATTACAATAATTCGTGTGTGTGCTACAACCTCTGGAATGCACTATATACACACACTCACTTAATTATAAATTAAGGAGTAGAATGTATAACTACATGTACATGTACATGTAGCTCGTCAAAAATTGTTGGGAGAGAATTTTTTTAATTTTTATAGAGACATGTACATATATTTATGTAGTTATGTTGTGTAGAAAGTTTGAGCTGATTCTGATCAAATTTAGATTTTTTACGAATTATTAAAGTTGTTCCAAAATCAAGTCAAAGTCCCTGTACTATAGCACAGGGTCATCGGCCAAATTTTGCCAAAATTGAAAAGGAGAGAATTCTCCATTTCTATAATTTTTCCTGATGCATATACATGTTTTCATGTTGTGTAGAAAGTTTGAGCTGATTCCAATCAAATTTAGATTTTAAATGAATTTTTGAAGTTGCTAGAAAATTGGCAAAAATTAATTTTAATGGTTAGAAAAGGATTTATTGCCTTTTTGATGCATAGTGTACATCTACAAGCTACTACATCACATACTGTAGGTAATACGTTATTTTTTATAGATTCTAGAAAATCTCCAAAACCAGGTGACGATGATGGTAGGTCAAGAGCTATATCAGAGCCTCCGCCCGCCATCACCACAAGCCACGCCTCCTCACCAAACCATGCTCGCTCTGAGTCCCCGACTAGCCCCACCCACCAATCACCAAAAACCTCTAACCTACCAAACGGACACGCCTCCAAACCCACCTCACCACTGGCGACCGATATACCAGTAGATGCACACTTTCACAAACCAGTCCAGCGCCCATATGAGTCTCGAACTCCAAAATTAATCAGGGGTGGAGATAGAAATAAAATGGCCATGTTTATGCCAGACCTTGACGACAAAAATAATTTGGTGACGACAGTCGTGATGGGTGCACCGGCGTCCGCTACATCGGACGACCAGCGTCCTGTCGACCATCGTCCTGTCGAGAAAGATCGCAGCAGTGCCCCTGTTAAGAAGAAGAGTATTACCATCATACCTAGTGGTGGTGCTCAAGAGGTGAAGAGAGAGGAGGAGGGAAGGAAGGGAGCGGCTGATAAGAAAGAACCAAAAAAGAAGTTTTCTTTGTTAAAGTCTGGTCGAACTGGCGATAAAGCAAAGCCATCTTCACCGTCTCGTAAAAAAGATCCCCCACCAGCTTCAGGAGGAAAGAAAGACAAGAAAATGTCAGGTCGATTAAGTAAACTAAGTTTGCCTAATCTTTATAAACCGAGTGCTAGCGTTAGCTCTGATCTTCAATCCATATCAGACGTATCACTCGAGTTCTCTCCCACAGATAAGCAGTCCTTCTTTAAGAAGAGGACAAATGAATCGGTCAGCTCAGCTACTGGCTGGTCCTTTCAACCTGTTGCCACTAATAACAAGGAGGAGGAGGAGGTGGTGGTGGGAGAGACAGGGAGCGAGAGCATGTTACATTCTCGTAGCGAGCTCTATCTCTCTGCTATCTCAGAGCCACGTTTAAATCCACCTCAGAAAATAGCAACCAGAGCCGCCAGTATGTTCAACTTGTCTCAGTCGGATGATATTGATTTGAGTGAAATGAACACTCCAGTGACAATGTTCATGTCGCGTAGCATGGAGGATGTGCTGGAGGGAGGGAGTGAGGAGGAGGGAGAAGGGTCTGTGGGATTGTCCATTAATAGTATCAAGATTGAAATTAGTGAGACTGAGGCTGGTGGAATGGGAACGAAGACACCCGGTATGGGAACGAAGACGCCCGGTATGGGAATAGGTAATGGTGATATTGCTAGTACAGCATTAAAGAAAAGTGATGAATCTACTGAAAAAAGTAAGTTGTACATGTACATGTACATACCATTACATACAGCTTTATGTATATGTAGATGTAGATGTAGATGTACATGTACATGTAGATGTACATGTACATGTACATATTCTTTAGTTAAAGCTACTGTAGGTTTATATACATGTACATGTATATTCAGCATAAAAGCATATGTAAATTTGTTGATAAATTATAAATTATAATTCCTGTTACTTTGCTGTTGCAGGTATGGAGAAGGAGAAGACCAAAAAAGTCAATAAAAAGGAGAATGTTACTAAAGACACGAAAGAAATACAGAAAAAAGATGAACTGGTATCTTCGGTTGGTGAAGACTCAAGTGACATCACAACAAGTGTATCATCTATCGATGAAAGCTCATCTTCATCACAATCAACCAATCAACAATTCAAACGATTCACTACCTCAAGAAAGCCGCTTAGAAAACCTTCTTTCGGTGGGAAAGAGAGTCCTAAAATAGTACCCAAGAGAAGTCCTAGCTCAGTCAGTGCTAGGACTATTAGCGAGACTCCCAGTTCTCCAAGGTTCACTAAACGTACTTCTAGCCCATCTCGTTCTCCTGTTGTTAGCAGTCCCAAATTTGAAAGATCTTTCAGGGGAGGGAATCAAACCTCGCCCTTAACGGCTCGTAAAACCATACCCACTACACCCACTTCCATCAGACGTTCGTTTGATACTAGTCCGCATGGCTCGCCATTAGCGTCAACAAAGGCCACACCCACTGCTAGAGGGTCACCTAAATCATCTCCGATAATCGGTCGTAAGTCCTTAGGTGCAACTGCTACTAATAAAGCTCGTTCCTCTCTCACCTCTTCAGCTTCTACTGGAATCAAACCCAAGAAAAGTGACACTACGTCTGATAGAGCCACACCCACAACTCCCAAGAAGTCCTTGACTCCTAAAGGCACGCCTACGTCTACCCGTAAATCAAAAAGTGAGGCTCTACCACCAATCGATTTGATCAATTTTGAGCCTATCACTGCTCGGGGGTCTTCAAGTTCTGGCTCGACCACACCCACCACTCCGACCACGCCCAGGTCACGTCAGCGTAGATCGGGCGTCTCGTCTGTCACTTCTCCACTAGTGGAAGACGTTGGGTTTGGTAAATCATTACAAGTCACTCCAGGATCATCACGTAAGAGCAGTGCTACTAGTGAAAACGATAGATTATCATCACCTTCTCGGTCTCCCCTTGCCTCTCCTGTCTCCTCAAGGAACACAGCAGGAACTGGTAGTTTTGGTAAATCTGGAATCAAAAAGAAAGAATTGGGTGGAGTCAAGTCGCTAGTCCCGCCCACTACTCAGTCAAAAACTGTCACCACGTATGTTTATAAATCTCTTAAATCAACTGCTGAAGAAGCTCCCCCTGCCCCAAGTGCCCCACAGACTTTTAAGTACGTCAGTGGTGGACGCAAGAAAGAAGCTAAAAAAGGTAATTTAAAAAAACACTATATGAAAATTTTGCAATTTACCCCTAACTATACTGCAGTAATAATAACTTAATAATTTCTTTTATAGATTCAGTAAGCAGTCCCAGTTTGACTATCAATCCCGGCCCCACTACTGACAGTAGTTGTACTAGTATTACCAACACTGATTCTTCATCAACCCTACCTGTCAGCAGTAGCAGTGACACTGATGTAACATCAACCACTTCACTCTCAACCACCAGTATTAGCACAACCAGCCTTAGCACGACCAGTCTTAGTAAGGTTGATACTACTGCTCCTAAGACTACTGCTACTAAAACTGGTAGCACCACTAAAATAACATCTCCTTTGGCTATAAAGAAGCAGTCAGCCCCTGTTAAAGTTGCTCAATCCCCAACAACCAAGAAGCCTCCTTCAGGGCTAAAACCAGTTTCATCAAAAGGAAGGATGGGAACCCCTGCTTTAGCTCGGAGAGCTTCCGGGAACAAGCCGACCCCTAGTTCTCCATCTCGTAGCAAGTCGGAAGGACTCTCGCCTCAGAGATCAATAAAGCCATCTTTATCAACTGCTAAGGTAGAGAGTGACGATACCACATCAACTATACTAAACCCATTAGTCTCACTGATCACCTCTCCTTCCCCAGACGCTCCCATATCACCTCCATCCCTTTTCGACTCCTTAGGGGCACGCCCCCTTTCACCCACGTCCCCCCTTCACTCAGAACCGGACGATACGGAGTTCCTCGGCATGGCCTTGTCTCCGCCTGAAGTACCCATATGGTCTGATATTGATACAAAGAAAGGTGCAGCAAATGACGAAGCCTCTCAACTCACTTATATCTATCGTAGTACACTCCTTCGTAAATCTTCAAGGCCGACCACTCAAATTGACGGTGATACTAAAATGTCTCGAGTTCCCAGTAACAAGTCTCCCCATCACGAAGCCAGAGGAATGACACGGACCACTTCGCCAAGAAAGGTATCACTACCGGTCCCCCCTGCTCATTCTGGGGGTGGGGCGGGAACGCTTCGTAAATCAAGTATCCCTAATCGTGCTTCAATGAAACGCAAGTCAATGTCTCGGGCGGCCAGTGCTAAGACATCGGTCAGTGGGACGACGGGTGGAGCTGGTCGACCACGGTCCGCTTCTCTTGTCCCACCTCCGGACCCCGAAGCAAGCTCTGATCTTAAAGCAGTTAGTAGTGAGGTATCCATTACAAGATCAGGAGCTGGTGGAGAGAGGGACAGTATGAGGAAGAGTAAGAGATCTATTGGTGGGGCTAGACCCATTTCAGCAAAACCAAAATCAACATCTAAAAGTACCTCTCAACTGGTGAATAGCTCAGTCTCAAAAGAAGATCCCACTCCTTCTCGCCCGCCTCCTTCATCAAAGAACCAGTTATTGAAGTCCAAGACCTCTGATTCCTGTATAGGTGAAGCATCACGTACCAAAGCACCAATGATGAAGACTAATAGCACTACTGCTTATGTTAGTCGCTCAAACGAAACAAGGAAATCTATCAAGAAAACGTCGGCATCAAAACCTCCAGTCCTTTCAGCATCAGTAGGAGCCACTGGGAGTGGTACGCTAAGAGCATCAATAAAAAGAGGATCTAAGAATTTAGCTGATTCGGACAAACACCGTTCATCACTGAGGCTCTCAAGAAGAAGCAGTGCTGGTACTATAACAAAGGGTGCCGCTAATAGAGGGACGTTGAAGAGAGGAGGTAATGTAAGTACTTCTGCTGGCACTGTTGGGTCTCCTTCTGGATCAAGAGGTCACTCAGTGGAGAGAGATGATACTCTATCAGTGTTTGATGATATCAGCTCAATGGCACAAAAGAACCTGTGAGTTACTGGTACTCTACAAAGTGTGTATATAAGCATATACTATTGTGCTGTATTTGTTTGTATTTTGTTTTGCTTGCCTTAAGCTGTAGGTTCAGAATTGTTATGTTGTGACCGAAAGTGCTGTATATATATTGCAATGGGTAGACGCTATTTTTGCATTTACCCATTGCATTACACAGCACTTCAGGTCACAACATAAGAATTCTGAACCTGTAGCTTTAGATATTAAAAATTCATGTAGATTGTGTGCATGTACATGTAACAAAATTATTCTTTTAGCATCTCTTTGCTTATACATGTACATGTACATGCATGTATATGTACTTTCATTAATCCATTGATAATTCACAAAGATAATGTAAATTATTTCACAAAGCACTACATGTACATGTACATGTACATGTACATGTACTTATTAATTTATTAACTTATTAATTTGTACTTTATTAATTATTAATTTGTCTATTCATTTCTTCTAGTCTCTCATCAGTCTCTGATCATAAAAGAGCAGTTCGTCCAAGAGAGAGACAGAAGCCGTCCTCCGCTCACCTCCAGCTCCTCAACAAAAGGAATGATATATCCAGTGAAATGGACACACCCACTTCTGGAGCCACGCCCAAATCAGACCCAAATGCATATTCAACATATATGGGTCAGTTTTTATATAAATTATGTATTATTTCTTATTTAATGTAAGTATTATCATCATTATTATTATTATTATTATTATTATTATTTACATTGTATTTATTTATTTTATTTTTTGTTTATTTATTTATTTATTCTTTTATTTATTTATTTGTTTGTTTGTTTATTTATTTATTTATTTATTTATTTATATTTGTAGGTAAGAAAGTTTTGGATCATTCAGCATTATTAGGACTGGCAGCAAAACTTGATTTCACAACCGTCAAACTGAGAAAAACTGGCATAGTGGAACAGGTAATGGCAAATATTATGTGCTCTTGCTATCTATAGTTGTTATTATATTTTTGTTATTGTTTATTGTTTATTGTTGTTTGTTTATTGTTGTTTGTTTATTGTTGTTTTTTTATTGTTGTTTGTTGTTTGTTGTAGATGATGAATGATAAGGAAGGAGGTGGTGGTGGTAGAGTATCTGATGTTAGTGAGATGCCTAATAGTAATTATGGAGTCAAGACAACATCACATCCACTGATGCTACTAATCGTTAAAGGTTTGTCAGTATCTATTATCTACAATGTATACACGTACATGTGCAGTACATGTACATGTACACATGTATTCATGTTCTTAAGCCTATTTGAGTTCACAAATTTAGTTGCTATCTCTTATATAGACTGTCTGTAGACCCTACCTTTACACTAGGGTATGTGTCTCACTAAATGTACATGTATAACCTTTATGGCAGTTATGTTACATGCATACATGTACATGTACAATGTACATGTATTATCCAATGCTGTACTTATAATCAGTGTCTGTTACAAATGTTACTCTTTTAACTATGTAATATTGACATTCCTTCTTCTTTTTCTAAAGGTCGTAAGAATGTCCAGACTCGGTTAGTCCAACCGGTAGCTAGCTCAGTTAATTCAGGTGATGTCTTTGTTTTGATTCGTGACAATGACCTTTTCCTCTGGAATGGGAAAGAAGCAAACGTCATTGAAAAAGCCAGGGTATGGTAAAGACTATAATGTACTATGTACACTGTATTTATATTTTATAAGTATTATATAAACACAGTGGCTATACATGTACATATACATGTATCTCATAATGACAGGAAATTAATGGTGATAATTGTCGTTTTTTTTACATCAATTTTGAAGTTTTTTTTTTGATTTCAAAATTGACCATTAAAATATAAATATAATCATGAGATAGATAATTCAGACAATTCCAGTGATTGGCAATAGCAACTTTTTTTGACTGTTTATCAATCAATTTGGTCTACCCACACACTTAATTGATTACTTCCTTATTAGGGCAATGATCTAGTGCATAGAATACAGCAGAGGAAGGAGCTTGGTTGTCATAGTAACGGGTTCATCTCCATAGAGGACAGCAGTGAGCGCTTGTCTAAGAAGCAAAGCATGTTCTGGGAGATACTGAATGGGAAGCAACCAGTTAATAAAGGTAATTTAATTAATAAAGTATTATTAAATAATTGATAATATTATTATTGATATTAATTATTAATATTGATATTAATTATTAGTAATATTAATATTAATTATTAATAAATAAGTATTATTAAAGTATTGGACAGTTAATAAAGGTATTATGAGTGTAATTCATATACATGAACATATACTATTATTATTATGGAGTGATTTTGGACATGAGCTGTATCTACATTGTAGCAGTAAAGTGGCCATAGCTCAAAAATTTGAAGTCGGAATCAGCTCAAACTTTCTACACAGCATAAGGACATCAATATGTATCAAAAAATGTAAAAAAAATTTGGGGTGATTTTGGAGCCATTTTTCGGAAAAAACCATGGGCTATAGCCTTGGGTATTTTTCAAAAATTGGCCATTTAAGAAAATGCTCATAACTTGAAAAATTTAAGTCAGAATCAGTTCAAACTTTCTACACAACATAAGTACATCAATATGTATCAGAAAATGTAATAAAAATTGGGGGTGATTTCGGAGTCATTTTTCCGAAAAAACCATGGGCTATTATAGCCTTGGGTATTTTTCAAAAATTGGCCATTTAAAAAAATATAAAATTATCATTTGATTGCAATAATACTATTATTATTATTGCATTAATCACAATGAGTATCCCTTTGAAGAATCACATACAGTGTACATTGTAATTGTAAAGTGTAAAGGTTTGATTTAATACGGTGAGCAGATCTAGCACAAGCTTAATCTGCTTTTAACAGGCTTCTGAATAACAATGCTAAATTGTTTTAAGTCAAAATTATGTTTAGCATCTTGTAAACTAATAATTGTGTGAATTTACTATCAACAAAAAGAGAAGATATTTTTACTGGAAAAAATTATACTGTACATGTACATGTAGCACAATAGTATTTTATGCATATGAAGAAGTAAAAAATAACTGAAGGAGTAAGAATAGCATTTGTAACCTAGAAAGTCAACAAGAACAATTGTTAGTGAATTACAAAGTTATTTGACATAAATCTCATAAAAGCCAACAGGACTGTCTTCATTACTTGTCCCTTCATTTCCACACACCCTCAGCTCAATATAGTCAGCAGTGGTAGTGTTACCATAGTCTCTGTGAAACCATGGGATACCAGGAACATTACAACAAGGTGATTCAAGAGAACCACAACCTTGACCATCCCAGAGTGGATCAGATGTGTAGAGAATATTAGCCCAATTAGAAGCATGATTACCAGACTCACAGAAATAATGGTTTCCTACAAAAGATGGGACAGTCTGGGAGCTTCCTGTTGAACATGGACACATAGAATGTGGAGAAATGTTATAAGTGTCCATGAAACCATTGGCTAGTGTCCAGACATGTTGACGAGGAGACCCACGAGTGATACTAACACCATCAACATAATAAGAATTGAGGTTGCTTGATCTTTGAAATGCATCTGTTGTATAAAATTGATATCCTGTTACTCTACCACATATCTGAGAATAACTGATACCATTAGATGGGAACTGAACTGATGCACAGACACCACTACTGTTAGTCCTACCACAAGCTCTAACTCCTCCTGGCTGGTACAGTCTAAGCCCAGAAGGACAGTTCTGTGTAGCATCAGTCATATCCAGATATGCTAGTCTTGTCCATCCTCCTCCTGAACCACACAATGTTCCCATATTACAGTATGTAGAATATGTTCCAGTAGGTCCTGCTAGTATATAATAACCTGATGGACTGCTAGGTTGTTGTTCATGTAACTGCTTACAAGAGGTAGGTAAAGCAGTTGATTCATTGTGTAGTACTAATAGTTCTTGTGCTATTAGTAGTATATCATCAACCACTCCAGCAGTAGAGGTACTGGTGTCTTGTAGATTAGAGAGAGTATTGACAATGTTAATGAGCTTTTGTGCAGAATCTCTTGTAAATTCACATTCATTACTGCTAGCATCAGTTGCGGGATTAATACACTCAACGTTATTACCAGTAGCATACACTACAGTAACAATGCCCAGTATAATTATTAATAATATCAATATGAGACAGAGTAATACTGTATCGAACAGTAGTGGTTTACTCCAAGATGACTGCCTTTGTTTAGCATTTTTTATATTTTTGGGAGGTGGCGGAAGAGGCTGCTGGTGTCCTTTGTTAGAAATCTCTGGAAGTTCATAGACATTTTCATTTTCCTGCTTTCCAGCATCTATTGATAAGTAGCCATCACTATCTTGAGTCTTATGGTACTGATTATTCATCTTGACTAGATAGAGGTAATTTGAAGTAATACAGAATTGGCAACTACTGCCTTTTTATAAAGACAGGAAATATCAAAAAAATGTTTGTCAGTTAAACTGATGACAGCAAGACCAAGTTTATTTTAACTTTGATAATTATAAATCAAACTAGTTTAATAATAAACTTCAACTACAATTGTGGACTTAAGCTGCAATATAGAATATTGTCTAATAAACAACCTGAACTATAATATAAATAATGATGACCTATGGCTCGTGATATAATCAAAAAAAGCTTACACTTTCCATGTGATAAGGATAACAAAAGGTGTAATAAAAATTTAGGAAATGATAAACAAGATTCAATCTTAACAATTTGTTTTGGGAGGAATTACCCTCGTTATGTGTGGCAAGATTAGGAGGAAAGTAAACTTTCATTGAGTGATAATGCAGTTGTATTTGTTGATAATACTGTTGAGTGCTTGGTGCATATTCTCAAAGTACTGTATATTTTAATAGCACTTTGAGTAATTTTTTTACATCTAACTTTTGGGGGGGAATGTGGAGTTTGGAGTAGATCTTCTTCCCACCCCTCAGTAGATAAAAGCCTCCTAAAGCTAGGATTACCCATTAATCACATACTTAAATGTATTGACCTTTTAATGCATTAACCAAGAACACTCTGGCTTGGCATAAGAACATCAATATGTATCAGAAAATGTAATAAAAATCGGGGGTGATTTTGGAGGCATTTTTTGGAAAAAAACCATGGGCTATAGCCTTCGGTATTTTACAAAAATTGGCTGTTTTTAAAAGGTACTCATAACTTGAAAAGTTTAAGTCGGAATCAGTTCAAACTTTCTACACAACTTAATGACATCAATATGTATCAGAAAATGTAATAAAAATTAGGGGTGATTTTGGAGCCATTTTTTAAAAAACAGGGTATTTCCATAAACTCCCTTACTCTCAAAAGGTTTTATTTCATTTAGCCAAACATGTCGAGACCCAAACTCAATGAAAGGTGAGGACCTTCCGTGACTATCAGCGACCACACGCGAGTACAATACTTCAGCCAACAAAACCTAAATTAAACAAATATAATATCGTCATAGCAACAAGCCACACCCACTCACAGCTGATTGCGCAATTTGACTAGCACCGGTGGAGATCTTTCCAGTTAAGATATTTTCCAGAAATTGTTTGAGTAGTAACGACTCAATTTGTGATGCTTTACTGGATGTGTCAGGTGCACTCTAAAAATTAAAAAGAAAAATAATTAATGTCTTTTCAATTTAGATTGAGTATATTAAATAATATGAATAGGAATTTTTTAAATATATGCATCACTTTCAAAATAAATATGAAATTACCATTTGTTTGGAATAGTACTATAATATTGCATTAATCATAATGAGCATCCCTTTAAAAATCCCATTACAGTGTGTATTGTAATTTAAACGGTCCATTTAATTTTGTTAACACAGATCTAGCACAAATTTTGTGGCATTTCTGGATGAAAACGCAAAATTGTTCTAAGTCAAAAATATGTTTAGTATCTTATAACCTTTTTTAGTAACCTTGTAACCTTTTGATAAAAATTAAGGAGTTTAGAAAGTGTGATCAATTTAAACTTTGTAGATAAGGTATGATGATACTAATAATTATGTGGATTTATTATCAACAAAAAAAGATATTTTTTACTAGGCAAAACTACACACTACACATAGCACAATAGTATCTTATAAGATATGAAGAAGTAAAAAATAATTAAAGGAGCAAAAATAGCATTTATAAAGAAGAAAGTCAGCAAGAACAATTGTTAGTGAACTACAAAGTTACTTCACATAAATTTCATAAAAGCTAATAGGACTGTCCTCATCATTAGTTGCTCCGCCACTACCACAGACCCTCAACTCAATATAGTCAATAGTGGTAGTACTACCATAGTCTCTGTGAAACCATGGGATACCAGGAACATTACAACAAGGTGATTCAAGAGAACCACAACCTTGACCATCCCAGAGTGGATCAGATGTGTAGAGTTTCTTCTTCCAATTACTAGCTTGATTACCAGACTCACAGAAATAATGGTTTCCTACAAAAGATGGGACAGTGAGGTAGCTCCCTGTTGAGCATGGACATATCCATTCGTTGCTATAAGAGCCAGTTATACCATTTGCTAGTGTCCAGACATGTTGACGAGGAGACCCACGAGTGATACTAACACCATCAACATAAGGAAAATTGATGTTATTTGATCCAACAGCAAATGCATTTGGTGAAAAAAATTGATATCCTGTTACTCTACCACATATCTGAGAATAACTGATACCATTAGATGGGAACTGAACTGATACACAGCCACCACTGCTGCTATTTCTACCACAAGCTCTAACTCCTCCTGACTGGTACAGTCTAAACCCAGAAGGACAGTTCTGTGTAGCATCAGACATATCCAGATACGCTAGTCTTGTCCATCCTCCTCCTGAACCACACAATGTTCCCATATTACAGTATGTAGAATATGTTCCAGTAGGTCCTGCCAGTATATAATAACCTGATGGACTGTTAGGTTGTTGTTCATGTAACTGTTTACAAGAGGTAGATAAAGCAGTTGATTCATTGTGTAGTACTAATAGTTCTTGTGCTATTAGTAGTATATCATCAGCCACTCCAGCAGTAGAGGTACTGGTGTCTTGTAGATTAGAGAGAGTATTGACAATGTTAATGAGCTTTTGTGTAGAATCTCTTGTAGTTTCACATTCAC